TGAGTTGATTTTATTGGCTTTATTCATCGTCTAATTTCTGACGAAGCGGTGCAGTTTCACTTGGTTGTAGCAGTAGTAGATGGGTAATCTGCATTTCACTAAGCGAAAGGATTCCTCAAGTTTGAAGTTTTCGTGATCGCTTTCAATACATGCTTGCCAAAAATTTGATAAGCATTATATTGCATAATTTTGTATATTTTAGCAGTTGAGAGTTTGTTCAGTGAACCCTCTCATTCAGATTTTTTGCGTAGCATCAGGAATAGACGATATTTGAATTGAAGTTATGTTTAAGACCAGGTGTATCTGTGCATTGCATTCTGTATAAAAAGTACTTGCATCGAACATTTACTAGTTCTGCTTGTATGTATGTGTGCAATTGCACATCTTCAATTATACTCGGGAGAACTAGTTCGCTTCTGACGCGGTGGGCAAGGACAGTATGTTGCATCTGCTCCTGGCTTTCCATTTTCTCCGCGCTGAATCGAAATTACTTAATAACTATTTTGCCAAGTTAGTAGCAAAGAACTTACCGGTCCAGGTAGGCCATTTCTTCCACGATTACCGTCTTTGCCATTGCGACCAGGACGGCCTGCGGGTCCTGGCAGTCCATTCTTTCCGTCGGGTCCAGGAGGTCCTTGCTCTCCTGGAGGTCCACGTGGTCCCTGAGGTCCTGGAAGACCTGGCTGTCCAGGCGAGTATTGAGTTCCTGGTTGTCCGGGTGGTCCTGGTGGACCAGGACGTCCAGCTATTCCTGCCGGTCCTTGGTCTCCTTGTGGTCCTTGGTCTCCAACAGGGCCTGGATTTCCGGCTGGTCCACGGTGTCCGAATGGTCCTGGTGGTCCGGGTGGTCCTTGGTCTCCAGGAGGTCCACGTGGTCCTGGAGGTCCTGCTGGGCAGCTGATGCAGCCTCCAGGAATATCATGGGTTACGGCGAGAGCAACTCCTGGAACGCCAGGTCGTCCATCTTCACCATCCTTTCCAGGCTCTCCAGGAGGTCCCTTAGGTCCACGAGGTCCAGGAGGTCCAGGTGGACAGTCTCTGGATTTTTCTCCGCAGTTGCACTGCTCTGGGAAACCAGAGGCACGAGGACGACGCCCGAAGAGGGTAACAAAGGTAGGCGCAGCCTCCGACTCTCCAGTGGGATGCAAATGCTTCGAAATTATGCGATTCCAAGTGTCCTCCGAAATTCCCTGAAAAATGCATGGTTTCGAATGGCTGAGTGTAAAGAAGATACCGCTTACCCTAAACTCCTCCATGCCAACTTGGACCTCCATTTGAAGTTCGGAAATTTCTTTGAGCAGGGAGACCATAGTTACGAGAGAGACGATCACGAAGGCCAAAGTGGCCACCGAGCCAACGATGACCACGTTAGTCATGCTCGAATTGGCAAAGACATCCTTTCACCGGTATTTATAGGAATCGATAAGATTGGGATAGTCTTTGCTGTGACTGTGTAGACGTAGAAATCGCAAGGGCAACAGCAGAATTTGTCCTTTTTCATCTGCGCCTACTCTCTGATACACACGCTTACTCCCTCGTAGTCGTATGGTTTTGCCTTTCATCCACTTTTTTAGGGCAGCTGGGACTGGTTTGCGCCTGGGTTAAAAAAA